AATATTTAGGGATTTCTTGGCGGTGTTGACTCCGGTTTAAACTCCGAAAAATTCTTCTCGATAAGCTCCGACTCCGACTCCGAAAACTTCAATTCGACGGTCTCCGACTCCGACTTCGAAAATTTTGTGATCGTCACCTCCGACACCGCCTCCAACTCCGTCGGAGTCCGTGTCACCGTCGGAGTTCGGTGTCACCGCAGGGCCCTATCGGCCACAGGTAATCTAATACTGTCTAATTTGATATAAAGTAAGAGAATGTCCTCACGTGTCCCACGGCTTTTCTAATAAAGAGCAGAAGAATTAGACAGTATTAGGTTTAAAAATATGATAGAATTTACAGCAGCTTTAAATCTAGTCATTCCAATTTATTATTATAGACAATGTGACGTTTCGAAATGTACACATTTCATCATCAGACAATGAGATACGAAGTTTACTATACCACAAACTTGTGTCTCATTGTCCGATGAAATATGTACATTTCGAAACGTCACATTGTCTATAATAATAAATTGACTAGATTTAAAGCTCCTGTAAATTGTATGATATTTTTACTCAAAATTTTGTCTGTACAAAAACAAAAGTATTAGGTTTATCTTACATGTAGTGGTGTTCGCTGTTATCGTCGATGTCGTTGTCACTTGAATGATTGAAAAGTAAAAGATGTGATTTAATCAGAAACAGATAGTGACAATAACATATGCTTGTATAGCGAGTGCTGAGTTATGTGCCTAAAGGATTTTAATTACTGTCGGATGATAGTTGACAGAATTTTTGACGGTTTGAATTTCGTGAGTGATTTCCAACGACAGCTAAAACACAAGTACAAAACTTGGTTGAAACCTAGAATATGAATTTTGTGTAGCTATGGAAGATTGATTACTGAAAGTTGTGTCAACTTTCACGGGAGTCATTTCCTCGTTCAGATAACTCAGTGCTCTCTAGAAATCGACAAGGTCAAAATATCGAATTTTGTCAGAGAAAAGTTAGCGGATCTTGAGACTTCCACGAAGGGAGCTAGTAAGATGCCACTCTGATATTTGGAATCAACACTATTGATTACATATGTTTACATACCTTCGACAGCCACCACAAGTATATGTTATTGTCACTATCTGTTTCTAATTAAATTAAATCGCTTACTTTTCGATCATTTAAGTGACAACGACATCGACAATAACAGCGAATACTACTACATGTAAGATAAACCTAATAATGTGTTAATAAATAGAATAAAGTAACAGCAGTAACTTCGTTTTTATAACATACACAGGGTATGATGAACTGTATCGAATGGCGTTTGAACGAACTTTCTAGCTCTCAAACTTTCCGGGATAATTGAGAAAAAGTGTGTCAACAACGTAACAGCGTTACGTTTGGACAAGCCGAATGTCTAATGCTGTATAATTCTACGTGTAATAACTTTTTAAGACGTGTTTTGCAGGATTGGTTTTCTAGAAGCATTTCTTTCCATTAGAGAGGAAAAAGAATGCTTTCTGATTTCGAACGGAATGAAACGCATCTTTCACATGCAGCGGGGAATTTTCCTTTTTTTCTACTAAAACATAAGAAACAAAGACTAATGCGTTCTGAATTGTAAACATGATCGAATGTAGTCGTTTTCTACAGGCGTTTTGTTTCACTTTTTACTTCTTCGCGAGAAAAAATACAACAGAGCTCAAATAATTTTTCATTATCGTTTAAACGCTTTGGAAATTGAAAGCAGTTTTTCCGCCTCTTAATAAGAAACGACATTAAGCACAGTTTGAAGCCCGAGCGGATACAAACGCGTTATCCACAAATTCGTCTTACTGCGTTTCAAAGTTGAGAGCGCGGGTTTTATTACCAATACATTGTCTTTTATCCCAAACACATTTTTATCGGTTCGAACTTCCCCCAACCAAGACCTAGTATTTTTGGTCTGATTTTCTTGTTCTTTTCCAACTCACTTGTCGGGCTCATGAAGGAACTCACTGATTCCCTCTGGTTTACAAGACTTCAGTATGGCTCCTCACACGTGGTTCTTCGTACAAGTAAAACCCTGCCCCTAATAGGAGCCCATCCCTCATTAGAAGACCATTGTCGATCATGTGACTTGAAAGCCAGATAGAAGACCATGGTCTTCTACCGTTGAACTACTAGCACGCGATAAAATTGGACCGCAATAAAACCACACTCAAAGTTTTAAGTTATCGGATAAAATAAAAGACCATCTGGTCTTCTATTACGAGGAGGGGTTTAGGAAAAAGTTTAACTTCGAAATTTATAAGACACGTGAAGGCACGAGATGTTCAAAGTCTGTATAGTGTCCGCTTTTTCATGGTGTTCATCGTGAAAAATAGGTGAAAGTGACTTGTAACATCTGGACAACAGGAGTTCCAGTCTCGAAACTAAGTATAATAGGAGAAAAAGGCGGTGAAACTTTGCCAAGGTATATACTACTAATTTGTGCTGGTGTTTGTGGAAGTTGTTACTAGCAGCGCTAAACTGACTACAAAAATTAGAACAATTAGTAATTTATTGCTGTACTTTCTCGTTTATTCCTGCTCTTAACTAAAAACGAAAGCAAGCGTATGTCATGCTTAGAACGTGTTCAACGCCGACTTTTGCTACAAAGAAATGTGTTATAAACAAATTTTATTTCGCAGAACACGTTCTGGGCAATTTTCTTGAGCTACTGAAAACGCTTTTTTCTTCGTTTCCCATTCCCAAAACAGCCAAACGATGAGTACCTGTTAATTTACATCTTTTATGGTACAGTTTTGAGCAGTATTAAAGTATGTCTTTATACTAACAGTATGGACAAAAGATAACGAAAGTTTTAACAGATGGTACGATGGATAGAACAAATACCTACAGAATAAGATATGACGTATATCAAAACATTCTTCGAAATATGAGAACAATGTGAAAACGCAGCGAACGTATATACTGTCACTTAAGAGAAATATATGAAAGGGAAGGGATCCAAATTTTTTATTCTAACTTTCTGAATTTCTACACAAACTGGATAGGTGACGTAATCGGTGGTAAATATGACTATCATCCACATTTGATCCACATGAAAAAATATATTTATATCATAACTTAAAATAATGACACAAAATTCTACAACTTAACTTAAAGTGGGACTACTGTTCGAAGAGGCAAAATCCCTTTCGGACAATCGCAATTTGGCTACGCGGATTTTGAACAGTCGGAGTTTGAATAATTTTCGACGACAGAATGTGGACAATTCCAAAGCTACTTCGATTTAGAAATATTTTTTTTTTTTCTCTATTACATCAAACATGTGCCAAACAACAGAATGTACCAACAAACACAGAAAAACAAAAAAAATTTATGTACAAGTTCAATAGAATTTTAACCAAACATCATCTACATCATAATTATTACCTTTATCATTAACTTTAACCCGGGCATTACGAGTTGTAGCTGTAGCGACACCTATAATAAGTTTTTTTCTTTTTTTTAACTACCGAAGAATCATCAGATAAAGAAATAATATAGAGAAGGAGGACAGTTATTCTAAAGATTATGACTAACAATATAGAGGTCAGCTCATAACATAATCCTCAAATATTAGAGGGCGCAATAAATTCATTGTCCAATTTCCACTAGTGCTTTCGACAAAGTTCTAAATCCACGGGAATTGTCAAAGTCCACTAGAATTTGGACAATTGTCACTATCTGTTTTTGATTAAATCACATCTTTTACTTTTTGATTGTTTAAGTGACGACGACATCGACAACAACAGCGAACACCACTACATGTAAGTTACTTTCTTCGGGAAAAAACGTACACGTACCCAAAGAGCAGCAATTGTTTTTACTTCTTTCTTACCAGTATCCCTATGGGAAAAAAATTACAGAGTCGTTTTGGATTATCCTTTTCCATTTTTCACCATCGAACTCCACGTTTTCGCAATCTAGAGAAAGTTCACAATCTACATCAGAAACTGAGTCAGTGTTTAGAATTTTTGGAAAATTTTAATTTTACAGCAGAAAGCTCTGTCCACATATTTGCAAACTCTGTAAGTTTTTTTCGATAGGTATTCTGGTATGAAAGAAGTAAAAGGAATTGCTCTTCTTTAGATTTGTAAAGGATTAATACGTTTGCACGATACAAGGTGGGTTTTTAACCTATTCTAGTCGTGCCTGCAAGGCGTTTTGATCACTTCTGATGTTATGTCCGCGTGACCAAATTCTAGTAATCCTCCCAAGATCGACATGTACTTTGACAGTCACTACAAGCATATGTTATTGTCACTATCTGTTTGATTAAATCACATCTTTTATTTTTCGATTGTTTAAGTGACGACGACATCGACAACAACAGCGAACACTACATGTACGTTACTTTCTTCGGAAAACATAAACAACTTAGAATTGTAGTTTTCTTTCATGTTTTAGCTAGTGCTTCAGCAAATACATCTAGCACAGGTAAATTTAATACTGTCTAATTCTATATGTAGTACGGGAATGTCCTTACGTGTTCCGCCGGTTTTTAAATAAAAGATATGTATACATATGTAAGAAATAGTGCTAATTCCAAATATCAGATCAGAAAGTTAGAAGCGACGGAAATCGACCAACCTTTTCTGTCGCCTGTCGATCATGTAATTGTGGAAGTCTGTCATGCAAAAAGTGGAGGCACAGTTGAGGATCTTTCGTTGCAGGAGTCGAGTTGTTGGCTTTGGGATGTTTCATATCAGGAAGAGGCATGTCAACGTGTTTTTTTCAAGCGTGGGTAGGGTGGATGTTTTGGCGTTTGTTTATTTTAGTATTGACAACAACAACAACAACTGTACTTACTACAACAACCACAGCAAATGTTTGCCTCGATAGCAATGCGTTAGTAACAGTCCTGTTTACACTCAGTCTAATAGCTCCTCAGAATTACACGTTTTATTCCTATGTGTATACTGCAACGGCTGGACACACATTAGGATCATTAATTTTCAGCTTAAGAAACGATCCGGCCTACTGGTTTTTGGATGATGTTTCAGTAAAATCAGTTTCGACTTCAGCAGAACTGTTAACAAATGGTGGTTTCGAATCAGGTTCATTGACCTCATCCTGGATATATTGTAATCCAGTAAGTGGCTCAAGCTCTAGCCAAGTCACAATGGGTAATCAACGCACTGGTACATACTGTTACAGGGACGGTTCATCTAATTCTTACGATTATCTCTCTCAAAAATTGACGATGATCAGTGGTAGTCAGTATAATATTAGCTTTTGGTTGGCATCTCGTTTAGGTGTTGTTGTATACACGAATGGAACTGTACTAGCACAAGTGACATTACAATTTTGAAAATTTTCCTTAAACAAAACTTTTTTCATTCATACGGCCTTCTACTCAAATCATCAACGCTTCAAAATAATCTACAGGCACGTGTCACATATTCTTTATTCAAAAGGAACGGTGTGATAGTTATTATATAAAGCATGAGATTGTATGACTTTCATTAAAAAAACTCTGATTAAAGCGTTGGTGGAGATTCTTCGCCTCCACTCCAACTAGTTTGATGATTTTCGTTTCGTTTGTTTATGATAAATTTAGAACTCATTACCTATTATCACATAATGTAATCACCATATTTCTTTGGTCGATACTGTCCAACAAAACTCAGTCGATCAAAACGGTGCTAGCCATTGAATTGAGTGCCGTAACCAAGACCAAGATTTTTTTACGTAAAGATTCGTCAAAAAAATCTTTTGATAAATTCTTTGAAAGAAATCAATTGTGTGGGGTAATCATGGCTACGAGCTTAAATACTTCCTGCAGTGAAAGCTTGATTAGACATGTTCTGTGGGTTTTTATCTGCAAATCTTGGAAGTTTTGGTTAGCCTTAATTATAGGCATATAGCACATATTAGTTATACCAAAGCAACAGTATGATAATTATTACATAAAGCATGGGACAATAGAGACCGCGTATCCGTATTACGTATCCGTATTACGCGTACTAGCTTTTCCTTTGTAGTGCTCTTCCCGTGTAGTGCTCTGTTTTCTTGCGAAACGCATATATTAATAGGCTTGAGTAACGATGTTGTACATTTATTTACAGAAAATGGAAACCATTCTAGGACTTTCGGTGATAGATATCGAAGGTACAAGAACTGTCGTCAAATGATTTTCAGAAAGACGCATCAACTGGGTTCTAACCGTCAGGGTTTCAATATACCTGTAAAAGGACACTTGACGGAAGAAAACTATACGATCTCTCTAACCGTTCCTACGCATGGATCATCAAATTCCATAATTCTCTAATTAGTCATCAAAGATTGAAAACTGTCAACTGCGCAATGAAGAAATGTGGTGACAAAAGGTCCAGTTATAAGTTTCACAAGGGTCAGTTTTCGACCTAACTAAAACTATTCTTTCTCACCACAACACAGCTTTTATGTAGCTTCCGCAGAAAAATATAGCAGTTTTATTGAAAGTACTCAGTGAATACAGTTTGCGGAGCATAGCTCAGTCGACTAGTGGACAGCCAATGAACGACAAAGTGCTTAGTCTGAATCTCAGCGACACCGGTCGCATGATAGTCTTGGAGCGATTCGGCACAATCTAGTTCCAAGAAGTAGCAAAATAATTTTAAAAAATATTATTAAATCAAGATCTTCCGCAAGATTTTAAGATCTTAGGTACAGAATTCACGTTCTTTTATGATAATCGAATCAGATGAATTTGTACCCAAGATCGTATTACACAGATCTTGGCTCAAGATAATCAGATTATCTTGTACCCAAATTTTCAAGATCTACTCACATTTCTGTACCTTGTATCTTGGCCAAGATCTTGTACACAAAATCCAAGATCTTGTAGACAAGATCCAAGATCTTACTTACAAGATGTTTCACTAGGGTAAGTATCCATATTTCCGTTTGAACTAAATTTTTTCATTTAATCCCCATCACTGTTTATTTCGCTCTGTTCTGTGCTAAATATCTTCTCCTTATCCATCACGTATGAATAAATGGTATAATAAGAAGAAATAGATAAATAAATGCAAAAAATCGGGCGTAAAGCGTGACACATTACATCTTCCGACATCTACAAAAATGTATTTTTGTTAGAGGAATAAAAATAACTTCGGAAATCATTTCATGATTATCTATATCTTAAAATATTGAATAAAAGTCTCATGATGGTCTCTTAACTTTAATATATGACTTGTTCCATGTGATATTTTATCTTCTACATATTCAGCTATATGGATTTCAGAACTGCGGAAATCCAATAATCCTGATAGACTAAAAACAAGATCATAATTTGGATGAGATTTTGGCTTTCTATGCTATTTTTGAAATAACGCTATTTTATTATTATAGATGTCCCGTGGTGGACTGCTCAAACAATTACATCAAAATGATAAGATTGCTCTACTCGACGAGGCAGATGCCTGTTTAAAACGGAATGGGTTAATTCCCGATGGTCCGATTAGCGAACACAATAATATCTACGAGATAGTTCTCACATTGTATTCTAGACGAGCCACCGTAACAAAAAGTTTGACAAACTCAACATCAAATCTTCATTTAAAAAAGCTGACCATTTTGGCTAATACAACTGAAGAACCAATATTACGATTGTTAAAAAAAAAATTATCGGGTGATGCACCAAATCCATTTGCTGAACGATCGCTTTTTCTCTTTATCACTACTCCACTTACTCTTGAAAAACCATTTCCACCTTCTTGGAACGTCAATCATGAACCGACAATAGATCAAGTTGCTTTTACAGCTAGTCAACTAAATAATCTCGACTTTTATTATGAAACAACTGCACGTCTCATGACTATAGCATATGGCAATTTAATGTGTAAATTGAGTAAGTTCTCCAGACATATATTTTCTTTTTTAAAAGGCAAACATCCCCAGGCAAACTTTTTCTGCGAAAAAAACGCGTTAGAGTTCGTTTAAATTTTCATAGAAACTAACGCGTTTACCAGGATGTTTTTTGTCACATTCCGGACGTTCAAACGCGTTACTGATCAACGCGTTTCACAGGGTCGATAATCAACGCGTTAGAGCGCGTTATAATTTAACGCGTTTGAACGCCCTAAATGTGACAAAAAACATCCTGCTAAACGCGTTA